GGCGCTCGAACGGGCACAAGCGTTCAGGATCGAGCGCTCGCAGTTCTGAACACGCCTTAGCTGTCGGTCTTGTTTGGATGAAGCGCCATATAACGTGATAATTTACGTGCCTGCGCAGGTTGTTGATTTGGTGACCCCGGATTTGTGGACCAGATTCGATTGATAAATCGACAGCCATTACGTAGCTAATGTGGTTTGAGCTGATATAGGTGTTGATAAGGAAAGTAGTTATCATTTAAAAGGATGAACTCGAGGAATGTGGGTTCAGCCTCTCCCACTCCGGGAACCATGGCACTGTTTCAGTCCTATCATTAGCCTGTCCCACAGTCCATGAACCATAGTACTTTTCCTCCGACCCAGCACTGCTTGTAATGCAAATCCTCTATAGTCTGTTTGCAGTGAAAACGTACCGATGAATTTCACTTTAAACAAAAAAGTACATCAAATAAAGTGAAATTAAGATTGCGAATCTTCATAATTTGACCTTGCCAACTGAACATTTAAATCTCAGAATTTTATTCAACTTAGGATAAAAGTTGTTTTACAAACGATCATAGTTTCAAATCGCTATTATTGGTTTGTATTACAAGGGGGTATGCACATTAAATGAAACACCGAAAACATGTAGGGTTGGTCTAAGTTAACGCTCATCACGAACCGCAAGTGCATTTGTTTTACTATTCCAACTACAGCGCTTACCCCCTTGTAATACAAACCAATAATGGCGACTTGAAACTATGATCGTTTGTTAAACAACTTTTATGCTAATAAAATTCTGAGATTTGAGTGTTCATTTGGCAAGCGTAAATTTATGAGGATTCTCAATCTTAATTTCACTTTATTTGATTTACGTTTTTGTTTAAAGTGAAATTCATCTGTACGTTTTCACCGCAAACAGACTATAGCATTCTTCAGGTTCTGAATCTCCAATCTCCCTGGGACTCCGTTACAGTTTAAATGGAGCTGTCCGTCTCCCTCAGTAAGATTGTCAGAGACTAATCTTCTGTCTGCCCTGTCATCTGTTAGTATTCCGAACTCTAACCTGACCCAAGACAAATCTGCTACAAAAGGCAACCTGAAGATCACTTGGTCAGTGAGTGAGTGGGGTATTACACCGCTTTTAGCAATATTCCACCGGTATCACGGCGGAGGAAATCAGAAATGGGCTTTACACATTGTACCCATATTGGGTTTCGAACCCAGGCCTTCGGCGTGACGAGCGAACGCTTTACCCACTAGGCTACCCCACCGCCCCACTTGGTCAGACTCAGTGACTTGTTTGATAGCGTGTATTCCGAATGAGTGGATCGTTGCTCAAGACTCGAACATTTACAGGCTGTGGTCATATAATTTGGATATTTCTGAGTGCAACTTCAAAGAACAGACTGACTGACTGTGTGAGTTTGGTTTTACGCCGCTTTTAGCAATATTCCAGCAACATCACGGCGGGGGACACCAGAAATGGGCTTCACACATTGTACCCATGTGGGCATCGAACCCGGGTCTTCGGCGTGACAAGCCAACGCTTTAACCACTAGGCTATAACACCGTCCCTCAAAGAACAGACAAACAACGAACAACGAAACCATTCCCATTGCCAAAACTGACAGCAAGAAGGCCTCATGGACCCTTGAACCTGAGCATGTTGTGTAAGCAGCCAACGCAATAACCACAAAGCTGCATCAACGCCTATACAGTTAAACCTCGTTAGTCCGGACAACATCAATCTGGACACCCGTCCTCCTGAACGTCTACAAACATACAGAAAACACATGCTTTTGTTTCCATGATTTACTTATCTGGTAATTTGGTAAACCGAACATTCACGCAGAAAATGATGCGTTGTAACTATAGAATCTGTTAGCCTCTAGGGTGAGGGTTAGCTCCGGGCTACGGGGTTTGGGTTAGAGCTCTCATTATCAGACATTTTATTTTTTATTATCTTGTAAATTGTGTACACCACGATCCTACATGACAAAATGAAGGACAATCCTCATCCCTGGTCATGGTGTTAAGGTACAAAATGTGGAGACAATGGCAATATACTCAGTCAATCAACAACCTTGGTCGCACCGGAGTCTATATTCTACCTGCTTACAACACTGAAATTGTATGAGTTCCTTAGCTCATTGAAGAGGTAATTAATGATCTTTTACGAGAGCTTCAGTACATGACAACCATGGATACAGTGACGTTTCATCGGAGGCTCATGAGGTGAGAGGTGAGGTGAAATTGGGTTTAACGTCGTGCTGGAGAATATTTCGCTCATATGACGACGTGCATGCGTGTGTATGTGTATGTGCGGCTGCTTGTACTAGCCCAGACTGAAGCTGGTTTTATAGTGCTAGCCCACTGAGATACCATGCCGCAGTGAAGCATGAATACCCCACTCACACACATTATACTGACTCCGAGCCGACCAGTCCTTGTTGTACCCATTAATGCCGAGCGCCAGACAGGGACCTACAAGTACCATATTTTAACGCCTTTTGGTATGACGCGGTCGGGGATCGAACCCGCGACCTTCCGCTCTCCGGGCGGACACTCTAACCCCTACACCACAGAGGCGTCTTGGAGGTTCATGACAATAATTGTTTTGTCAAAAATTGTAATCAAATTCAGTGTGTACGTAGTTTAGTGAGAAATAGGAAATTCTGGACTTCCATACAGGCACAATGTCACACATTTTCGACAATAGTTTGGCCTATATTATATATTTGGGGACAAATGCACTCACTTCAGCTTCCTATAGATGAAATAAAAGACCTATTATCCCTCACGACTTGCCTGAAATCGATAATTGAAACTTCGAGGCGAACAGCTGTCGCACGCGGTGTTGTCGGTGTTTGTCGAACTGGTTTCAATCACAAGTTGTACGTGGGATATTCGTAAAGTGATGAGTGAGTGAGTTTAGTTTTACGCCGCACTCAGCAATATTCCAGCTATATGGCGACAGTCTGTAAGTAATCGAGTCTGGACCAGACAATCCAGTGATCAACAGCGTGAACATCGATCTGCCCTATTGGGAACCGATGACATGTGTCAACCAAGTCGGGGGGCCTGACAACCCGACCCCATTAGTCGCCTCTTACGACAAGCATGGGTTACAGAAGGTTCATTCTAACCCGGACCTTCACGGGTATATTCGTAAAGAGCGCCCCAAGGGACATAACTCTATGGGGCTCGCTTGAAATAATGTTCGGCCGGTAGAGGGCGCGAGGGTCGATTTAATGCAACGTTGCATTAATTCATTTGAACTTTTCAATTTTCAATCTAAATACGCATTTTTAAAAAATCCATATCATATGGTAGCTTCCCTGAGGGCTGATAGTATTATTGAGAGACATGCACTGTGTATTTTTAGGGAAGTGTGGTGTGATATTGTGTCTTTAATCACAGCCTCTATGCAAAGCCGGGGGTTGGGCGTATAGATGTGTACTCCCCTTCATACAGATCTATTTAATTATGAATATCGGAATTACATGTTAACAGAGTAACAAAACACTGTAAACTTCAACTTTCAATCAACAGTCAACTTTCTCCCGTATGTCCTCCAATATTCATATTCAGAGGACATTTCCAAATTGTAATTATCAGTGGCAAAAATATATGTGAGATGCAGTTCAATATTGTGACTCTTTCCTGCATGTTATCAGGTCAGGAACCAGAAATGTTGATCTTGTTCAAAACAATTGCCTTGCCTTTGCGTGCGTCTGTAACGATGTTAACGCTGAACACATCACCATCATGGGTTTTTGTTTCTATAAACACATGCTTATGATTGTTTAATCGACTCTCCTTCAGGTAGGGTAGCCTAGTGGTTAAAGCGTTCGTTCGTCACGCAGAAGACCCGGGTTCGATTCCCCACAATGTGTGAAGCCTATTTCTGATGTCCCCGCCGGGATACTGCTGGAATATTGCTAAAAGCGGCGTAAGACTAACCCATTTAAGGCAGATACTTCTACGAACATGGAAATAGTTTGTAGGTGTTTACTTCACACTATGCTTATAGAATCTACGTAGGTACAAGGATGTGTGAGTTTCTTTCAGCTCTAATCGCCAGAATTCTATTTCAATGAGGTGAGGTGAAATTGGGTTTAACGTCGTGCTGGAGAATATTTCACTCCTATGACGACGTGCATGCGTGTGTATGTGTATGTGCGGCTGCTTGTACTAGCCCAGACTTAAGCTGGTTTTATAGTGCTAGCCCACTGAGATACCATGCCGCAGTGAAGCATGAATACCCCACTCACACACATTATACTGACTCCGAGCCGACCAGTCCTTGTTGTACCCATTAATGCCGAGCGCCAGGCAGGGACCAACAAGTACCATATTTTAACGTATTTTGGTATGAGGCGGTCGGGGATCGAACCCGAGACGTTCCGCTCTCCGGGCGGACGCTCTAACCACTACACCACGGAGGCGGTCTCTATTTCAATAACAATCGAATTATTTAAGTGAGCTGTATCAGATGCCACAGTTAACACTCCAGCAATATATGAATCAGGAAGGTCGTAAATCAGCTGTAGACTGACGGGCTTCAAACCCAAAACAAAATTGAAAACAACGAGCTAACACTTTCTTAATAAAAATTGTTTAATCTGTGATCAGTTCAACTTGCTTAAACATGAACACATAATCAATTCTACATGTCTGGGATTTGATTAATTGCCATACACTTTTCCAATAATCATTAATGTAATAATAAAAACCCTCATTCAAATGTAAGGAAATCGTTGAAGGAGAAAAATCGAATAATTTGACAACTATAGACTCTACACTCATCTGTGCTTGGCTCCCATATACACGAAGAGGGGTTGCCTCCCTTTAGCATCCGTGTCGTCACACAGAATGCTTCATAAATAATGATGCGTAAAAAAAGGGATGAGTGAGTTAGTTTGGTTTTACGCCGCTTTTAGCAATATTCCAGCAACATCACGGCGGGGGACACCAGAAATGGGCTTAACACATTGTACCCATCTGGGAATCGAACCCAGGTCTTCGGCGTGACGAACGCTTTAACACTAGGCTACCCCACCGCCGGAGGTGATCCCAAGGAATGCACGGCATCAATAATTGGTCACAGCAACCAGACTGGATATGGTTCAACGCACCCATTATAATCAAGATTCGAACCCAGAATCACCTTTCTGTTCATACAATTCACCACAACAGACTTGGGTGCTTACGAGTGCTGAGTCACATGGGTACTTATATGAACACATTGTCGAAATAATGATAATTCACAATATTTTCAGCTTATCGGTATTAAACATGAATTTGCCAATGCAATGACAATTTGTATCGTTTAGTCCGTTGCCTCAGCGGCAGAAACTTGATCACATTTCTCCAGGTGTCTCGTTAGAGAGGCTTTTAACTTGTACTCCTTTCCACATGGACACTGGAACCGGAAGCCCCGGTGTTCTTTGTTGAAGTGATCCTTGGTGCTGTTCCTAGTCCTGAACGCGTGCTCACACATTGGGCAGCGGTACAGTCTGTAACGGAACATAAAACTATTACAGCAGAATTAAAGATAGACATCGAAACACATTCAAAGCTTGGAGGACCTCAAGTAATGCGTGATTAAATACACCACTATCGCAGAACTGATTATGTTAAAGATAGTCATCGAGAGACACTCAAAGGCTGGAGGACCTAAAGTAATGCGTGATTAAATACACCACTACTGTAGAACTGATTATGTTAAAGATAGTCATCGAGAGACACTCAAAGGCTGGAGGACCTAAAGTAACGCGTGACGTTATATGTCATTATTGCAGAACAGTTTATATTAAAGATGGTCATGGAGAGACAATCAAAGGCTGGAGGACCTGAAGTAACTCGTGACTTAATACGCCATTGCAGAACTCCCTTGCTGCAAACGTATGCATTCTGTGACGGAAGCCAACACTGTGCTGTCGTTAGTAAAAGCTGTCTAATAACAGTTATTTTTCCTATTAATGTCAACTTTCTTTTCCTCCAATTCCCTAGAGTTCTATTAATAATTTCTAGTCTTTTTCTTGTATTAATTACCCAAAGGTTATTTAAATTAGGATTAAGTCTTATTCCTAGAATATCAAAATCCCCATTATGCCAATCAAGCTTAAGATCCTGGCATAAATTCATGCTATTACCTGCCATTGAGCCTATCCACACTGCTTGGGTTTTATGTATATTTATTCTTAAACCAGACATTTCGTAGAAATTATTGAGAGTGTCAGTTGCTGCCCTTAAACTTTCTTCACGCCCATCGAGAAATAATTCAGTATCATCTGCATACTGTCATAACTGATGTTGGTTATCTAAGCCTGACTGTTTAGAGTGAGTGGGTGAGTTTTTACGCCGCTTTTAGCAATATTCTAGCATTATCACGACTGGGCACACCAGAAATGGGCTTCACGTATTGTACCCATGTGGGGAATCGAATGCTTTGACCACTAGGATACACCACCTCCCTTGTGAGTGAATGGTTTCAAGGCCGCATTTAACAGTATTTTCGTTATATCACGATGTGTTCCAAATATGACAGGAAAACAAGCTACACCATGGTTGCCGGAAAATATGATGAGTATGAACCACTCAAATACGTGAATTAAACTTCAGCAATAATCATGTCACCGAGCTACAATGTGATCAGTCATCTCACACCGGTAGACAGATTACTGATTCCCAATACGTCTGCCCATACGCAACTGTGAGAGAGAACAACCTGCGTAATTCTAACAATTAGATACCACGGGTGGCCCAGTGGTCTAAGGTGCCACAGACTTGTACCAAATAGGTGTTTGGACCAGTTATCCTCAAGGTTCTAATCCTAGATTATTTTTTTGTGATCTCTCAGGGCAATACTTGTGATTGTAGGTTTGAGTCAACAAGTTTCACCTCCGTCATATTGACTTCGCTGAAATGAAACCACAGCTGAAGTGCTTTTTAAGGTTGGTTAAATTCCAGCTCACTCACTCACTCACTCACAGTTTACTTACTTTCCCTTGAAGTAGATAACTTCCTGAAACGAAAAAACGACAGTGAGAACGTGTCTATGGTCTGTAAAACATGTGCGTTATATAAATTAGTTAATACCAAGAGTGAGTTAGTGTTGGGAATTGGTAAAAATCTCTTTATTGATGATTGGTTCATTACTACCGATCAATCATCGAATATAATTGGTTAGCGTCATTTATGAAATTTGTTAATGCACATTAAAATAAGGGGAAAAAATGTAGTCTCTTCTGGGTTTTTTTTTGGGCAAAATTTCACATCTTTAAAGGATGACTAGTATGTTAGGAACATAAAGTTCTTGGAATCTTTAAGATAAATTCAATCATGACTTGAAACGAACTTGTAGTGCTTACGAAATGTAACAGACAAAACCAACCATGTGAAAAATATTGATAATGAAAACAAGTGTTCCAGAATTGTTTGTGTTCGGTTATGAGAAATTATGATCGATTGCTTGGTCGTTTAGTCACTACGACCAATCTTCGATTATTTCAATTAATCGGACCACCACTAGAGTGAGTATCAGTTTACGCCGTTTTAGCAGCAATCTTAATTAAGTATTAATAACCATTCGATTAACAGAGAAATTAAGAGAAAGGAATATTGGCGATAAAACGTGCAAATATCTCAGTACTATACATTTCCTGAAAACCTGGTAGACCTTACACTTTTGACCAGTCATTTGTCGGATTACATGTGTTAGTTTAACACGCTTTGAACAGTCTTGGTGTTATATGTTTGTAACGATTACGGCCTAATCCGTCGAATTTTGCACAGCCATCAGTGCCGATCCGTCGAATCATGCTTGAGTGGTTCTGTGCTAATCGGTCGACTTTCAGACTGTGTTAACACACTGGGAGAGTCTAAGTTCATTAATTAAGGGGTCGGCTTGTATTGGGCTAAAACCCTGACCCTGATGAATCGCTCTGCCCGTTCTGTAGAAACATAGATGAAGACGGGTTCCATGTCCTCCTTGTAGGTCCTAGGTATGAGGAGAGCAGACAAAAGTATCTACCAGAGTATTATACAAATCACCCATTTTTTTGTTAAGTTTGTAGGACCACTAGCCAACCAAAATGAAAAACTTACCTTATGTTAAGCAATTTTTATAACAAAGATATTTGAGATTAGAGAGACCCCTAAGTTTAATCCCTACCGTGCGACTTTGTATAGATTACTTAGAGATTATTATACTCCCAGGTTTATGCACCAAGTCTAAATTACTACTCGAGACGTTTGAACATCACGAACTATATATTTCTCCTTATGAATGCATTATATTTAATGCATCAATTTCAGTTTTGTACAAAAGTAAAAAAAAAGTCCAAACATATATTTAATGCATCAATTTCTCATTGTATCATATGAGTAGGCAAAGATATATACTGTACAAAAGTACAAAATATAGAGTCTAACCATCCAGCACCCCTTGCGTCTTTGTTTAGGTAGGATCCAATGTTTTGATAACTAATTCATAGCTAAGATCACAATGCCGATCCGTCGAATGCATTTTACTACTCAAATCAGAAATTCGACGGATCAGTATACGCGACCGTTTGTAACGCCGCAATGTTCCAGCTACAGACCCGTGACAGTTATATTCGGACACTTGCAATTGACGCTATTTCCACAGACTTACATGTTAATTTAGTGTAGCATAAATAATTTTCATGAATTTAATTTTCGTATTTGTGAGGAATCATCTTACCTACAATCACATAATTTCTGTTTAATTTTCCGTAGCTTATTTATCGAATAGCAACAATTTAATCAACATATGAAAAATGCCGTGAACTCCTTTAATATGGCCGCCTATGGGATTGTGCATTGTGGAACTATTCTAAGTTGATAAATGTGATATCATTAGTAAAATTGTGGTCGGAAAATTGAACTGAAACTATGTGCGCAGAGCAGAGATGATTTCAAATTTGCCTGTCAAACTTTACAAAGATTTATCCTAAACTCCTAAAGTATTTATGCTACACTGAAATAACAAGTAAGTCTATGGAAATGACGTCAAGTGTCCGAATATATATGGCACGAGTCTGTATGTGGTAGCGAGTCAGGATCACACAATCCAGTGATTAACATCATGAGCATCGATACGCAATTGGGATATGATGACATGTGTCTACCAAGTCAGCGAGCCTGACCACCCGATCCCGTTAGTCGCCTCTAACGACAAGCATGGGTTGCTGAAGACCAATTCTAACCCGCATGTTCATGGGTTGCATGAAGACATGTCAGCTTGTTCGGGGGAAACGTGATGCAGGTCTAAGACGTTTACCTAGACAAACCTAGAAATACAACTATGGCCACCTGGGATTCCAATGCGTGATCATGTCGGGGGTTTTCAGCTTAGGGACGCAAACCTTCGGTGTCTCAGATGGGTGAGGTGGATTGTACGCCGACTTTAACAATATGTCATCAGTATGACAGCCGAGGGGCTCTATACTTTGTACCCATGGAGAACTGAACCTGGGCCTTCGTCATGAGTGAGTGAGTGAATATGGTTTTACGCCGCTTTTAGCAACATTCCAGCAATATCACGATGGGGGACACCAGGAATGGGCTTCACACATTGTACCCGTGTGGGGAATCGAACCCAGCTCGTCAGTGTGACGAGCGGCCGCTCCGACCACAAGGCTACGGCTACCCCACCGCCATGCTTCGTCAAGACTAGTGAATGATTCAACTCCCGTGCTACCCCACCAACCTTTGGGCCTTAGACGCAAGGGTAAGCCGTGAACAAGTGCATTTAAGGTAACTCATTACTGGAAGCTGGTTGCCTTCATTGCTGCCCATCCCTCTGTCTACCATAACGTTGCTGAAATATACAAATACCTAACATATGCGTGAACCTATTCATTGACTCAAATACTCATTAAAACACTTACGATATCCTTGTCCTCGAGCTCCATCCACCCAATTGTCGCTGTCTCGTCATCACTCTTGGGTTTCTTGTGGCTATCGTTCTGGAAATGTAACATCTTTCAGAGATTACTGATATTCAGTATATTCCACCTTGTGAGTTATGTTTTTCGCTTCCTGTTAGCAAAATTACCATTCCAAGAATATCACGGCTGGGAACACCAGAAAATCTTGTTTCACACATTGTACCCATGTGGAGAGTCGAACATCGACATTCGGCGAGGTGAGCAAACGCGTTAACCACTAGGCCACCCAACCGCCCCATTACTCATACATCGATATATCGTCATATACTGTTGAACGTCGAAGCAAAACGGTTAATTCCATGTGAGTGAATGGATGCATGTTGTTTTATGCCGCAGTCAGGAACGTCATATCATTGTTACTGCAGTCTGAAAATACCCATGCATTGGCCTGATTACCAATTACTAAAGGCATGACCTCATAACATCATGAGTGAGTGAGTGAGTTTAGTTTTACGCCGCACTCAGCAATAACCCAGCTATATGGCGGCGGTCTGTAAATCATAACATCATGAAAATGACTGGGAATTAGTGAAGTCAAAAGAATGACTGTCTTAATTGTTTTAGTCTGTGCTTACGACAAACATAGCAGAGGGCCGAGTCTTTCCGGAAACCCCGATTCTATGTCAGCTTACGTCAGATGTTGGTTCATGTACGTCACACACGTTTGTAAATAATCAGTACCTGATCACACTGTGGTAGGCTACGATACTGGATAGACAGTGGGGAGTTAGAATGTTAGGCAAGGCAATAGTCTTCTACAATGTCAGATAAGACAATATTATTCCACAATGTCAGATTAGACAATAGTATTTTACAATGTCAGATAAGACAATAGTATTCCACAATGTCAGACAAGACAATGGTATTCTACAATGTCAGACAAGACAATGGTATTCTACAGTAGACAAGACAATGGTATTCTACACTAGACAAGACAATGGTATCCTACAATATCAGACGAGACAATAGTATTCTACAGTGTCAGACAAGACAATGGTATTCTACAGTGTCAGATAAGACAATAATATTCTACAGTGTCAGACAAGACAATGGTATTCTACAGTAGACAAGACAATGGTATTCTACAGTAGACAAGATAATGGTATTCTACAGTGTCAGACAAGACAATGGTATTCCACAATGTCAGACAAGACAATGGTATTCTACAATGTCAGACAAGACAATGGTATTCTACAATGTCAGACAAGACAATGGTATTCTACAATGTCAGACAAGACAATGGTATTCTACAATGTCAGATAAGACAATGGTATTCTACAGTGTCAGACAAGACAATGACATTCTACAGTAGACAAGACAATGGTATTCTACAGCAGACAAGACAATGGTATTCTACAGCAGACAAGACAATGGTATTCCACAGTGTCAGACAAGACAATGGTATTCTACAGTAGACAAGACAATGGTATTCCACAGTGTCAGACAAGACAATGACATTCTACAGTAGACAAGACAATGGTATTCTACAGTGTCAGACAAGACAATGGTATTCTACAATGTCAGACAAGACAATGGTATTCTACAGTGTCAGACAAGACATGGTATTCTACAGTGTCAGACAAGACAATGGTATTCTACAATGTCAGACAATACAAAGGTAATCTACAATGTCAGAAAAGACAATGGTATTCTACAATGTCAGGCAAGACAATGGTATTCTACAATGTCAGACAAGACAATGGTATTCTACAGTAGACAAGACAATGGTATTCTACAGTAGACAAGATAATGGTATTCTACAGTGTCAGACAAGACAATGGTATTCTACAATGTCAGACAAGACAATGGTATTCTACAATGTCAGACAAGACAATGGTATTCTACAATATCAGACAAGACAATGGTATTCCACAGTGTCAGACAAGACAATGACATTCTACAGTAGACAAGACAATGGTATTCTACAGCAGACAAGACAATGGTATTCTACAGCAGACAAGACAATGGTATTCCACAGTAGACAAGACAATGGTATTCTACAGTACACAAGACAATGGTATTCCACAGTGTCAGACAAGACAATGACATTCTACAGTAGACAAGACAATGGTATTCTACAATGTCAGACAAGACAATGGTATTCTACAATGTCAGACAAGACAATGGTATTCTACAGTGTCAGACAAGACATGGTATTCTACAATGTCAGACAAGACAATGGTATTCTACAATGTCAGACAATACAAAGGTAATCTACAATGTCAGAACAGACAATGGTATTCCACAATGTCAGACAAGACAATGGTATTCTACAATGTCAGGCAAGACAATGGTATTCTACAATGTCAGACAAGACAATGGTATTCTACAGTGTCAGATAAGACAATGGTATTCCACAATGTCAGACAAGACAATGGTATTCTACAATGTCAGACAAGACAATGGTATTCTACAATGTCAGATAAGACAATGGTATTCTACAATATCAGACAAGACCATGGTATTCTACAAAGTCTTACAAGACAATGGTATTCTGCAGTAGACAAGACACTAGTAGGCTTTAGTGTCAGACAAGACAATGGCGGGCTTGAATATCATTATAACACATATTTAAGACACATTTCTACAATGTCAAAGAAGACAACGGAAGAATTCAATGTCAGACAAATCCATGGTATTCTGCAACAAACAAGACAATAGTGGGCTTCACAGCTAGACAACACACTGGTAGCCTACAATGTACGTTCAGTAACCACAACACACCAGCAATCCACTCCTCACTATCCTGATTGGCTAATGCGCCACAACGTGTCACTCCAATCCTACCAAACAAATTCGCCATGTATTAAGAAATACGTTGTCAAAGACTGGTGTATTCATTTTGTCATACAAAAAATAATTTAAATACATTAAATACGAAACCGTCTTAAAATTCCCATGACGACATTGATTTGGGAGAGCTCATGCCTACCCATCCATGATGCATAAGAAGTAGCACGAAATGCACACACCAAGCCTTGAAGGCCCCAAGACATTCATTTATAGTTCAAAGACGAGAAACTGACAGCTTTTCAATTGTTCTCGGGATGCCGACTATTACATACCTCGACAATCAATAATTATATGTGTATTGATCGTCCGTTTTTGGTATTAGAATACCAGAAGGAATTCTACGAAAGGATATTGGAATCTTGTATCTATAAAAGCCTTGAAGGTGCTTTTGTGTTTATGTATTGTCCCATCCAATCGAACAAAGTTTAAATGCAGTCTTGGTACGAACACAAGTTCGTATTATCGCATGAATAATAGCGTCCAACTTCACTATAGATTTTGGTTCCCTGGTTTAAGTCTCAGAACTTACAACATTAATGTATGTTCAAACAAGCGCTAATGTGTCTCCTTCATATCTTTCATTCTTTTGTTAGTTTCTCTTAAATGTGTTCAATGATGTTGCCACAACTTTAAGGTATATACAGTAACCCATCTTGGTGTATTGTTTAGTTTAAGCCGCTTTTAGCAATATTTCAAAAATATCCCAACACTAGAAATGTGATTCTCTGTCTCTGTGATACCCGTGAAGATCCGGGTAAGAATTGGTCTTCAACAACCCATGCTTGTCGTAAGAGGCGACTAACGGGATCGGGTGGTCAGGCTCGCTGACTTGGTTGACACATCGTTTCCCAATTGCGCAGATCGATGCTCATGATGCTGATCACTGGATTGTCTGGTTCAGACTCGATTATTTACAGACCGCTGTCATATACTTGGAATATTGCTGAGTGCGGCGTAAAACTAAACTCACTCACCAGAAATTTGAGGAATAGAACCCGGGTCTTGGACGTGACGAGCGAACGCTTTAACCACTCGGCTACCCCACCGCCCCCAATGACTTGGATCCTGGTGAACCGGGTTTTCTTCCCACACTGACCTGACAAGCAGTTATTTAACTGGAACACTGTTCAAAGTGGCTCAAAACCCAACTAACTCACTTACGATTTACTAGTAAGTAACAAAGGCTATATGTGCTTAAGTGTCATCAATCAATATTGAAAACTGCGGTGCTTCAGACTTTGTAGATCTCAATTATGTCCAGACTATATTAATGACGTTGTCGTACGTATTGAACTTCCCCAACTTCCCCTTTCAAACTTTGTTGAGTCTCTACTTATATCAATCAAACATTTACCCAAAACTCGTTTGAAGAATTCAAAAACATATTCATAAGTTTTCAATTTGAGATCATGGTTTTATGTAAATCCAAACAAAAGGATTATATCAATTGTGTGTAAAGTGTGTAGCAATATAATGAAATGTTTGTTTTCTTGCGGGCACCCTCATCTAATGAAAATGACAAAATAATGAAAACATTGGAAAAGAGTTCCTTCTGTTCCCCCAACCCTAAACCTAACCCTAAACCTAACCCTAACCCTAAACCGAACTTAAATTTTGGACTTTTAGTCATTTTTGTTAGTTCCCTAGTAATTGTTGTGTTAAGTTTTGTTAATAATTTTAGTATATATTAATTTATAAATATTATTTGGGATGGGGGGAACGGGAGGAAGTCTTACCAAACATTGTTAAGTCATAAACAGCAAATCACAATATCACTGCCGTGAATGCAAAGTATAACGAAGCCACAATTAATATATAATTGGTTTTGTGTTTTCTGCACCAGAAGCAAACAAAGTATGTCAATCGTTTCAATAAAATGACAATAAAACAAAATCCTCAAATAAGGATCAAATGTATATTTAAAATGCAAAACTATCTCTAAATAACAAAGACAGTTCACTATAAAGTGATTGACAAATATGCTTGGTTTCATGAAGGAATATTATTTATTATTATATGATATTTATTTGGCGCACATATCCACGCAACTAGTACAAGCTCGGGGCCCTGATTTTTCCCTCGATTGGAGGTCAATCTCAAAGGCACATCGTATTCGTATTATCAATCTCACCTACCTAGGGTTCATACAACAAGTTAACGTGACTTTTCTATCGAGGTACCCATTCACAGCTGAGTGGACTAGGCACTTAGTCACAGTACTTTGTCCAAGCTTACTGCACTTTGCTGTACTCGCGACTAGGTGTTTGCACGTATTCATGTGGCCGCCATCTGGTCATTTACCAACGGATTCGTGGGTTCTTTTAAGTGCACAGGGTTGTGTACTGTACACTAGGAGGTAGCCTAGTGGTTAAAGCGTTCGCTCGTCACGCCCAAGGGTCAATTCCCTACATGGATACAATGCGTGAAGCCCATTTCTGGTGTCCCATGCGTGATATTGCTGGAATATTGCTAAAAGCTGCTTGAAACCATACTCACTCACTCATGGAGGAAGGAAGGAATATATTTTAGGATTAAATCTCTGAAGTTAGAAGTGACACACATAAACGTGTCTGGGCGTCAACGTCTCATCATATAGTATACAACGTTTCGGAGTAATTAGATGGGTGGAATCGGGAAATGATCATTGACTCCATTGTGTTCCTCGTGAAGACTGACTGACTGACTGGGTTTGGTTTTACGCCGCTTTTAGCAATATTCCAGCAACATCACGGCGGGGGACACCAGAAATGGGCTTCACACATTGTGCCCATGTGGGGATTCGAACCCGGGTCTTCGGCGTGACGAGCGGCCGCTTTAACCATTAGACTACCCCACCGCCCCTTGTGAAGAAGTTGAAATACATCACTATTCAACCTATTTTGTTTTCTATTTCGCAAAAACATTAGACAGACAAGAGTAAACAACTGAACTATTATTAAATAAAGCTTGTTGAATGTACCTTGTCCATCATTGCACCAACGTCTTCAAGATGCAGAGCAGGTATCCCTGTGGGAAATTAAATTGATGTACCATCGAGTTAAACACTCCACCAATAACACCTGACTGGTCTTTCTCTTCAGTCAATGCCCACCACAATAGACCTCAATCACAATGATACAAGCACGAACGCTTGGTCCCCTGGGAAATGTCCTTTGTTAAGGTGACAATTGTTATGTAAGGACGGAAAACAATGACAATTTCCACTGTGCATGATATTCAGTCGGGCATTCAACGGCTGCTCAGTCCGTGACGCAAGTCTTTACTCACAGTGACATTAAAGACACATTTGTAGTTATTGGCAGCAATTACTAAATTATTTATATGTGTATACGTTGGACAAAACTACATTGGTGTTTTTACTCATTGCTTTATGGGAGCGGCGTGGTAGCTTAAAGCAGCCTTCACACGGCAAACTAAAGTTTGACAACACATGTGGCAGCACATGTTGTCAAACTCGAGTTTGAGAGTGTGAACATCCCAACGACTCGCCACCAACACCAATTTCAGAGTTGTCAAACGGTTGTCGAGAAATAGGATCGGTCTCTATTCTCACCAACTTTTCCATCAAACTTTCGGTGTTGTCAAACTTGTGTTTGACGTCTGAAGTGTTGTCAAACTCGTGTTGTTCAGAAACAACCGTTCGCAGTCAACGAAATTGTCACGTGACCGCACCGATAGCGACATGGCGCTCAAACGACACGAAAGTTCACATGTGTTTGACGTGTGAAAACGCGAATTTGACAACTTTTAAAATTTCAGCATGTGTTGTCAAACTTTAGTTTGCCGTGTGAAGGTCGCTTAATGGTTAAAGCGTTCGTTCGTCACGCCGAAGACTGAGTTCGATATCCCACATGGGTACAGTGTGTGAAGCCCTTTTCTGGTGTCTTTTCCGCAGTGATATTGCTGGAATCTGGAATATTGCTGAAAGTGGCGTAAAACCATACTCACTCACTCACCTATTGCCTTATGAAATCTTCTGTACATGAAACGAGATGAGATGCAATATGTTACATGAGTAGAATCTTTATCTGCTTCAAAGATTCCGAACGACAAAGAACCAACACAGTTTGTGGGAATTGCGGGGTGGGGGAATTTGAGACGCCTAAGGGACGCAACTCTGCATTGCGTTTGCAGAATGTTCAATTATTATCATCGGTATTTATCTCAAGAGTATTCGTTTCACCACCATCTACACAGTAAACACACAATAATCACGGATAAATAGAGAGTATTAACCGAGTGTGTTTCCGTATCATTAATATCATATAAATTATAAAGAATAAAAATTGTATTATACGAGCCTTCCTATTTAATTGCGGGTAATCACCTCATCAATATCAGTTTCTGATACCTGACGGAATCGATTCGTCGTCTTCTTGTGATCGATAGATCGAAATCCTTGGTTGGTACCTTTCTCAGACAATCGCCCGCCACTCGTGCCTAATAATCCGTACATACAATTTGAACGAAGCTCTCCGTTTCATGTTTTCCAAAGTCAGTTACTGCAGTAACGACTCCAGAGCCTCTGTCATCAATTCTTACAGAAACACCAATTTTGATAATGGGGGCAGCCATGTTTGTTTACAAACTCGTCCACGCAATGTAAACTCGCGACGACGTCATCAATGAAATGTTAAAAACGTTTTAGGATTCGCATGGCATGTGTGGAGTTTGGAGAAAGTAGTTCGTGGATTGACGTAATTTGCATAATTATCAGATTTGGATACCAAGTTTATCAGATTGCTTTATTGCACCGATAACGCCCTCGGTTATCAACCAATAACGCCCTTAGATTATAAACACGAAATATTGATTAAACAAACACCTGAAGTCCGTGAAGATCCAGGTTAGAATTGTTTGCGGTGGTCAGCCGCGGTGACTGGGCTAATGCATGTGTGTCATCCTATTCCAGATGCACAGATCAATGCTCCCGATGTTCATAATGGCCGAGCCATCAAAGACTTGTTTTTTTGAAAGTACTACCCATTAAGACCTGGGTTAGAATTGGTCATTTGCAAACCTTAACTTTTGGAAGGGGCGACTGGGGATAGGGTGGTAAATGCTATTTCTTTCGTTTGAATGAAATGAATTAGAATGAAATTCATTTCTCTTCATCCGTTGCGGAGAGACGGTTGGGTAGCCTAGTGGTTAAAGCGCTCGCTCGCCACGCCGAAGACCCGGATTCGATTCCCCACATGGGTACAATGTGTAAAGCCCATTCCTGGTGTCCCCCGACGTAATTTGCTGTAATATTGTGGAGTAATACCACACTCACTCTCCCGATGTCATTGTTTAGCGTGGACCAGGATATATCTTTATCAGAGCTGTAATGTACCTGGAATATTGCCGAGTGCAGCGTTAAACACCAAACAAACAAACCTACAAAAAATGTAATAAGGTCTCCTGAAGATCAACACAAGTACCTCTTTCACACTTTTAATCGTACATTTGCATTTGGCCGTGTAACAGATCCTTTAAAGAATCCCCGCTAAAGTTACATACATGAAGTCAATAAAGAACCCCATCCTACAGCCCCCATCGTCTGTGTCTACAAGAGTGTGCGTCTGTGTGTGTGTGTGTGTGTGCGCGCGCGTGCATGCGTGTGTGTGTGAGTGTTTCAACAGTGTCTGTCAATCATAGAGTCTGTGTGCGTGTGTGTTTCGTCTGTGACTGTGTGCATGTGTGTTTCGTCTGTGACTGTGTGCATGTGTGTTTCGTCTGTGACTGTGCGCATGTGTGTTTCGTCTATGACTGTATGCATGTGTGTTTCGTCTGTGACTGTGTGCATGTGTGTTTCGTCTATGACTGTGTGCATGTGTGTTTCGCATGTGTGTGCGCATGTGTGTTTCGTCTATGACTGTGTGCATGTGTGTTTCGTCTGTGACTATGTGTCTGTCAATGTGTTCGTGTGTGTGGCTGTGAATACGTGTGTGTGCGCCTGCATCTGTGTGTATGTGCCACAGTCGTTCGGAGTTTGAGTTCGAACCCCGAGTCCTGCCCACATTCCTGCGTCAAGGCACTTACCTGTTAGGGCCTTCTTCCAACACGAAGCTGACATTTCATGACAACATATATACGGCCCATGAGTTTGAGAAATCTTTTTACATTAACATGACGTTACTCATAAGCAAACATATCAACCCATCAACTATTAAAAACGCTTTTCAAATTAGAATTTAGAAACAAATGAAGTCGATGTTGAATAACATACGACTATCCGTCACGCTATGAATGATTTCCTTGCACATTAATCTATACGGATTTAAGAAACACAAACAGGATAATCACAATCAATATCCTGAGTCCACTGAAACTCAGACATCCACGAAATGCAATTAGTGTTATTTCCTTCCTGTCCCTATAAAATATACATCGCAAACACCAGTGTAACACGAAACTCTATTCATCAACTCCACATCGCCGTCCAAGCTGACAGAAATTGTTTCTTTACTGTCGGTATTAACACCTTTTTTAAACTCTGATAATCTTTACACTCACAAACAAAACTGTCACAGTTTTTACATGTGTTTTGTCCTGCGTTCGTTTTGGGTTTAGTGGGTTCTCTGCAATTTTACGTTGTATCGAGCATGAGTTGTACTTGTATCCAGGCAATTGTAAACACATGTTGTATCCTGCTTGTGTTGTACGTGTGCTATCCCCTTGTGTTGTGTGTGCTGGGTTCCTTTGTGCTGCGGTACATGTAGTTGCCCGGGATTTGTACACATATTTTCTATCCTGCAAGTTTCTAACGTCTAGTCTAGTACGTCTACACATATGTTCTATCGTGCATGTGCCTTATTGGGTTTGCCTAATAGACAAGTATTCTCTCCTCACGTTGGGGCAGTTCTCACATTTTATCATTCGCCCGTGGAAGATACTGCAGTGTAATATTTTTAAAGCAATATTATACTAGTGTAATACCGTTAGACGTATGACGTCATAATGGTTTACAGTTATGACGTCACAATGCTAATACCTCTGTCACAATTGTATTAGGCCTTGCTTGACTCGTGGCAAGCTGAAAGTATGTCACATGACGTAGGTAGTTTCTATGTTGGAGAGTAATAAACTGAATACTAAACTCGCTTCCGTGAAATACCATTTCTATCAAACTCATGACAGATTTAGCATCAAACTCGCTTTCGCTGGTTTGATACCAAATCATTAACTCGTTTAATAAAAAATGGTATTACACGGAAGGTCGTTTAGCATCCTCTATTTATTACCCACGTGGTATGGGTAGTTGCATACTAATCTCGTACGTCACACGTGTGTCGTATCGCGTTGACCTGTATCGTAACGACTTGACCTGAGATTCTAACGATTTGATTGGATAACCGATGACCTCTCAATTAGGTCACATTCTGACGTAACTATATTTTCATTCATAACAAACACGTGAATTCATTCATTCTACAACTTAAATGCATTGTGGGAATGTAAGCATCGAGAACGTTGCCGGGTCGCTGTTTAATTGTGAGTCGAACTGATACATTATATCCGTCGAAAAACATAAACGCAATGTTTCCACCAGTGATGTTAGCCGAATGAAGCAACTGCAAACCAAGAAACGGGGTGCTACGGAGTAGTTTACTATAGGAGGCTGTTCGAGGCGATGACAACTGACATGCATCGTGACGTCGGTTACCAAGGCAGTGACGTCATTTTGGTGTGACGTCATGCAAATATTGTACTACAGTACAAAACTCTTCCGCAACCCCTTTATGAAACCGGTTTCGGTTTGAAACCAAAATATTAACAAAAATACGCTATTTTTGTCAGTTTAATGCATGTAAGACGTGGGTAATAAATAAAATACCACACTCGGTCTCATTACATACGAATTATACGAAACTCGTGGCCTTCCTATGTTATCTGACCTCGCTTTCGCTCGGTCAGACACCACAGGAAGGACACTCGTTTCGTATAATTCGTATGTAATGAGACCTCGTGTAGTATTCTCTATTTATCATACATAACTGTGTTCCACAGGAGATATTGCTTGTGTGAGATCAAACGATATCTCCTCGGAGATACCGTTTTGACAGTAGATTATGTACAATGCCCTGACGTCATCAATTACTGACACAATGCTATGACGTTAAAAACCTGATGACGTCACGATGCTATGACATCGCTGCACTGCAAATCTAATGGCAGTACCGTGTTCAGAGATGTACATGTTTCATAGAAAACTAATGAAGTGTGATTTTTTATGATAAATAGAATCTCACTCTCGTGTCCTCTAATTAGGAGATAAACATCATGTGTTGGCCAAGTTCCGGGTGTTATTGAGTATTTGAAGGACGGGAATTCATTTGGAACCGACTGCGTCAGCCGGAGGTTTCAAATGGAATATTCCCGTGCTTCAAATACTCAATAACACCCGGAAATTGGCCAACACATGATGTTTATCGACATTGTAAACACAAACGTAAACCCAGAGGTCCACACACGTTTTTGTGTCTGCACTCATTGACATCGTGTACGGGTACAGCAGTGAAATGTCATCAACCGGCCGTTTCGGCTGTCTCTCATGGTAGCATCAGGAACTACTAATTTGTGACGTCATTCGGACTTTACGTCACAATATGATTTGAATGACGTCATCACATCTGACGACGTAACAATACAATGGTGTGAGCGATGTTTGTATGTTTTAATACGCAGCGAATTTCCGGGAATCGAATACCATTTGATCACGTTTTTCAACCAATCAGATTAAAGAACACAGTGACTTTTGGTTTACAATATCAAATACATCAACACTCGTTGATAATAGTAAAAATATCCTCGGCAAGCCTCGGATATTTGTAACTTTATCAACTCGTGATGATATATTTGATATCAAAAGACACTCGGGTGAGATTCTCTATCTATTCCCAAAGTGGGCACAATGTGTGAAGCCCATGCTTGACGTCACATTGCCGGAATGTTTCTGAACGTGACGTACACCGTGCTCACTTACCCTCTTGTCCTTACAAAACATCCATCTGAAAGGACGAAGTATATCGATAGCATAAGTGAGTGAGTTTAGTTTTACGCCACATTTAGCAAAATCAGGGTAGGTTCTACATGTCCCAGCTGCCCCAAGCAACCGCCGACAGACTTGATGACGTTGCTCATTGCACTTAAGGACGTAAAGAACATAATGTCAATCACCGCTCTTATAAAGGCCATTCGATTCCGGGGCGGTGGGGTGGCCTAGTGGTTAAAGCGTTCGCTCGTCACGCCAAAGTTCCGGGTTCGATTCCCCACATGGGTACAATGTGTGAAGCCCATTTCTGGTGTCCCCTGGCGTGATATTGCTAAAAGCGGCGTAAAACCCAACTAACTCACTCACCCATTCGGTTCAGGAAAGCTCGCTGTTTAGTTGACACTCACTATATCATAGAAATTGTTATGTTAATGGAACGGTAGGAACTGTTGAAAGCATATTTGCAGTAATCCTTGGCCACGAGATCTTCATATTATTGCCACCAACGATTACTGCAAATATATTTACATCAATTCCTACCGTTCCGTTACCATGTCTTTCACACAATTCTGATCATACAGTGAGTGAGTGAGTGTTTGTTTGTTGTTTAACGCCGCACTCAGCAATATTCCAGCTATATGGCGGCGGTCTGTAAATAATCGAGTCTGGACTAGACAATCCAGAGATCAACAGCATGAGCATCGATCTACGCAATTGGGATGCGTGGACATATGTCAAACAAGCCTCTTACGACAAACATTGCTGAAAACCAATTCCAACTCGGATCTTCACGGTCAGTTTCTGATATGGGATGTGTCTTGCAGAATATTGTATGGAGTCCTTTTCCAGATACCGTCAGTATAGCAACATCAACATTAAGAACACGTATGCATATTCAAAAGTGGTTTATTGAACCAATTTGTGAATGACATTGGCGCGAAAACAAACTTTCAACACTGTGTCGTTGAGTAAGTGAGTTTGGTTTTACGCCGCTTTTAGCAATATTCCAGCAATATCACGGCGGGGGACACCAGAAATGGGCTTTACACATTGTACTCATATGGGGAATCGAACCCGGGTCTTCAGCGTGACGAGCGACCGCTTTAACCACTAGGCTACCCCATGGCCCCACTGTGTCGTTGAAGTTGAAAATGTCTCACCAAACACATTCCGGTGTTGTGGCCGATTCAGCCAGTGGGGTGTACCCGGGATCAATTATGTATTTGATGAAGTTGTTGACAGGAGTGCACGATCCGCAGCTGTTCTCACACCTCCCTGAAACAACTCTGTTTGATTCAGATCGTGTAATAACAACGTTTCCAGTAGTCGTCTTCCACGGCTGGTCTGGATCCACTATAAGTCCGGTCAATGAAGTGTTGATGTTAAATTTACGTCCACTGACTCCAGAACAGGACTTTGAGCAGTCGAACACCCAGCCCATTATTATTTTATCGCAGCTCGGCTGGTCGATAAAAGTCATATCCTTTAACTGGGGGCTAAAACTCTTCATGTGCCATGTTAGCACGCCTGCTTTGCTGAAGGTCGTAGATCTACAAGACTTATATCCACCATAGCCTTTGTTCTGTTCACAGTTTGTTTTAGAATAGTCAACGGAAGCTTCTCCTGGTAAAGTTATGTATGGTTTCGGGGATGTAGACATTGCATGGCAGTAGATCTTTACGGCAGTGAAGCCAAATGCGTAAGGGTACATCCAGTATTCGCCATCCCCATAAGATGACCTGCACGTCTGTAAGTGGTCACATTGTCGTATAGCGTGACAGGTAGTGGTGCTCCACTGACCAGTGTCCAAGCACTCGACTTTGTGTCCAACACCTCCTTCCTTGAAAAATATTGGATCGCATTTATAGTTGACGAGTGTTCCATTCGGCCAAGGCCCTTCTCCGACATCAATAAGAGTTCCATTCGTGATACTTGGAGGGTCAATGCATACTCTAATACAAAACATGGTTGACCATGTATAAGTTGATTGACACGTAACTTGACCATTGGCGATGTATCCATGAATGCAGGTGTAGTTAACGGTAGTTCCCACAGCAAATGTTGTAGATGAATCATTTATATTAGCGTTTACGATCGATGGTGGGTCAGTGCAACCTTGTTCACAGCTAACTGAGGACCAAGTGCCATTTGTTGTACAGACCAGGTGGCCACTTCCCAGATAACCTTCTGGGCAGGTGTAATTCAGAATGGTTCCCGAAGGGAAAGGAGGGCTTGAGAGGCTCGAAATGGTGATGTTTGGGATCATTGGTGAAGAACAATCTAGTCCTTGAACACAGGAATAACTGGACCATGAACCATCAGACTGACAAACAGCTGATCCCATTTTTTCATATCCCAATGAACAGGTGAAGTCGATGACCGAGTCAACATCATTTGATATTGTGGTTGTAAAGACACCATTAGTCAGACTTGGTGGATCGCTACACTCAACATTACATATAGAAGTTCCATTATCAAGAACCCTACACACTGAGTTGTTTGGACATGAACGACCCTGACAGGCTCCGGCTACTCCTCTTGACCACTGGTCAATATCAACGTAAACATTGTTCTGGACATTCACGATGCTTGACGGCAAAGAACCGGAAGCAGACAATTCATTCAACTCACATTCTGACTTGTTCAAGTCAAAGTTGAAGGACTTACAACGCAGTCGTGAAACACATTCCTTGGCACACACCATAAGTCCTACATTCTTGAACACCCGAAACGTTGACGATAAAAGCTTAGTGTCAAGTGTCAGTTCCGGAATTTTTGCGATATCTGTACATTTTTGTCCTTCACCTGCAACAAGTGATGCAACAAGAAAAACAAACCAAGCAGCAAACATATCGTCCAATTTGCTTGTCCGCTTCAGCATTCAAAACACAACCACAACTGTATCCCCACACAAAAACAGTCTTGGAATTGGAGCCCAGAGTCTTGGAACTAGAGATCCTTGCTTCACGGCGTGTAGCTTTCTAATGAGGCTGCTTCAGTCTACAGAAAGATTACAGCTCGTCGTCGTTGAAAACACGCTCCACGTTGCCAGAGTTCCCGCATATGCTTATCGTGTCAACAAACAGCATCTCAAATAACTCATTGATGGGACTCTTTCTCTTCATGAACCCATATTCGTTATTGGTTGCAAACAGATCAATATAGGACACTACGTTACAGTATTCTCTTAGAAAGTAGATTAAATCTCTTATGTATGAGACTGCCTCCGTGGTGTAGTGGTTAGAGCGTCAGCCCGGAGGAAGAAAGGTCGCGGGTTCGATCCCCGACCGCGTCATACCAAAAGACATTAAAATATGGTACTTGTTGGTCCCTGCCTGGCGCTCGGCATTAATGGGTACAACAAGGACTGGTCGGCTCGGAGTCAGTATAATGTGTCTGAGTGGGATATTCAGGCTTCACTGCGGCATGGTATCTCAGTGGGCTAGCGCTATATAACCAGCTTCAGTCTGGGCTAGTACAAGCAGCCGCACATACACATACACACGCATGCACGTCGTCATATGAGCAAAATATTCTCAAGCACGACGTTAAACCAAATTTCACCGCACCTCACCTCACCTTTGATGTATGATAACGAGTGGGGAGTGAGTTTAGTTTTATGCCGCCTTTAGCAATATTCCAGCAATATCACGACAGGGGACACTAGAAATGGGCTTCACACATTGTACCCATGTGGGGAACCGAACCCGGGTCTTATGGATGCATGATAACAATTTTAATACGTTTATTAACCATGTAGCTCTTAGTGTGTTGGTTATGGATCAGTTAAAAAGTTCTACCCTGGATAAAAGAACACGAGACACTGATCCATCACAGTTTCTGCCCGGATTGGCACAATCAAACTTGCGAAAAGGATTTAAACTTTCAGGTTTATTAATGGTCGGATTTGTTTCAATAATTGTCACAAACTAGTGGCCATTTCCCTTCCTCTGAAAAAACAAGTGAGAACCCCGTGTGTATGTATATGTGCGGCTGTGAAACCGCGCCTCATATTTATACGTTCAGATCACTGTACACGATTCAGATAATGTCTCAACAAGAGACATGTCGAGCAGTATTCTTACAATGCCAACATTTCACAACACTTCAGGTACATTGTGCTTCTTCCATATGTTTCCGTGTTAACGTTTTAAATTAATTTTGTTACTCGCCTTTGTTTGCCTTTTTGATGGTGGCAATGGTGCGACACGACAACTTCCCTGGAATTTATTACGGACCCTTTCAGGGCCATTTGTTTGTTTGTTTGTTTGTTTGTTTTTTTTTGTTTAATTTTATTATTAGATGAATTTCAATTTTGTATATCTGCTTTCAACTTAGTATCTGGAAATCTACCAAGATAATTCCCTACACACAATTATGAAAAATGTTCATGTTTATTAGTTCATTACATTCACTGGAATATCAACTGACATATCTTGAAATTTCAAATTTGAAGCATCTCACTCAGTCAGTTAAGCATCTCACTCAGTTGAGCATCTCACTCACTGACTCACTCACTCACATCTCAGTTAAGCATCTCACTCACTTAGTTAAGCATCTCACTCAGTTAAGCATCTCACTCACTCACTCACATCTCAGTTAAGCATCTCACTCACATCTCAATTAAGCATCTCACTCACTTAGTTGAGCATTTCACTCAGTTCAGCATCTCACTCACTCACTCACATCTCAGTTAAGCATCTCACTCACTTAGTTAAGCATCTCACTCACTCACTCAGACTAATTCTCACTCACTCACTTAAGCATCTCACTCACATCTCAGTCACTCCACTCAGTTACTCACATCTCACTCACTCATCTCTCACTCACTTAAGCATCTGACTCTTCAGCTCAGTTACAGCATCTCAGTTAAGCATCTCACTCAGCTAAGCATCTCAGTTAAGCATCTCACTCACTCAGTTAAGCATCTCACTCAGTCTCATCTCACTCACTCACTCACTCATCTCAGTTAAGCATCTCACTCCACTCAGTTAAGCATCTCAGTTATCTCACTCATCTCACTCTCACTCAGTTATCTCACTCATCTCCTCACTCAGTTAAGCATCTCACTCAGTTAAGCACTCACTCACATCTCACTCAAGCATCTCAGTTAAGCAAGCATCTCACTCACTCAGTTAAGCATCTCACTCAGTTAATCTCACTCCACTCAGCATCTCACATCTCACCACTCAGTTAAGCCAGTTAAGCATCTCACTCAGTTAAGCATCTCACTCTCACTCTCACTCACTCAGTTCACATCTCACTCAGTTACATCTTACTCACTCAGTTCACATCTCACTCACATCTCAGTTAAGCATCTCACTCAGTTAAGCATCTCACTCACTCACTCACTCATCTCAGTTAAGCATCAGTTAAGCATCTCACTCACTCAGTTAAGCATCTCACTCTCAGTTAAGCATCCTCACTCAGTTAAGCATCTCACTCACTCACTCACTCACATCTCAGTTAAGCATCTCACTCACTCAGTTAAGCATCTCACTCTCTCACTCAGTTAAGTATCTCACTCACTCAGTTAAGTATCTCACTCACTCAGTTAAGCATCTCACTCAGTTAAGCATCTCACTCACTCTCAGTTAAGCATCTCATCTCAGTTAAGCATCTCAGTTAAGGCTCACTCACTCACTCACTCAGTTAAACATCTCTCAGTTAAGCATCTCTCAGTTAAGCATCTCACTCTCTCACTCACTCACTCACTCACTCACTCAGTTAAGCATCTCACCCAAAGTTTCCGGCTGTTGTGTATTTGGGTAGAATTGAAACCTATATCAATACATATGCAGAAAATATTTGAATACCAATGTTCATAGCAACTTCGGTTCAGCGTCTGTGTTTACTGATATTGTAAGTTGTTCGTTACTCGTGTACGTAAGCTACAGTGCCTGACACTATTTGTCCACATCTACATGGATCAGATCATAGAATTTTCTTGGCATCTCAAACGTTCGATATCCAATAAGGCTGTTCCCGTTAAAGAACAGCAAACATTCCTTAAGGCAGTCTCTCACTCGTTTGTACTTGATACAAACGAGTAGCCAATTTATATTGATCACGCAGTTGATTGAAAGTTTAGAAAAATAAAAACGTAACAAAGCTCGATGAGTTTGCAAGTTGATAACTCTGAATAAAAAAACTAATCGTCATGTATCTGTTTTCTCATAATGATTTGATATTTTCTTCAAGAAAGTATATGTGTGTCAGAGTTCATGGTTTGCTCTCAATCATCATAGCCCTTGTTTTGGAATAGTAACAACAATTTTAAATATACAGTTGTCACTTGTCTTATATTTGCTATTACATAAATTATCGTCCAAAGGAAACTTGGCAACTAAACAAATTAAATTGTTGAAATCCAATCCCAAATACCCTCAGAATACGAATCCGTGTTAACGAATGATTTGGAGATTTAACGTGCGCTTTCCGACATAGGGGTGATTTGACCGAAAGATATAACAACCTGAAGGGGGCGTTAGGGTTAATAAAAATTAATTTTAAATTTGGAAAATTTGCGAGAAGTTGCAGGGGGTGGTTTGGTTGGTATTTGTTTTGTTTGTTTAGTTTTTGTATATATTTGTTTTAGGTTAGGACTAGTTGGTTATGTGGGACTGACTGACTGAGTTTAGTTTTACGCCGCTTTTAGCAATATTCCAGCAATATCATGCCAGGGGACACCAGAAATGGGCTTAACACATTGTGCCCATGTGGGGAATCGAACCCGGGTCTTCGGCGTGACGAGCCAACGCTTTAACCACTGGGCTACCCCACCGCCCCAGGTTATGTGGGATTATAAGCGGCCTAACAGGCCAGTTTGGATAAGAAATACCTAACACATTGAAGGTTTGGGTGTTATTTAGTGAGTGAGTGAGTTTAGTTTTACGCCGCACTCAGCAATATCCCAGCTATATGGCGGCGGTCTGTAAATAATCGAGTCTGGACCAGACAATCCAGTGATCAACAGCATGAGCATCGATCTGCGCAATTGGGAACGATGACGTGTCAACCAAGTCAGCGAAACTGACCACCCGATCCCGTTTGTCGCCTCTTGCGACAAGCATAGTCGCCTTTTATGGCAAGCACATGGGTTGCTGAAGACCTTTTCTACCCCGAATCTTCACGGGTCTGTTATTTAGTTGACTTATGAGTGTTTGTAGTGTTAGGGGCGTGTTCGTGTCCAGTGAAGCACCATTCTGTGTTGCTAGCAGTGTGTGCAGTGTGGTAGGACGCAATCGGGCGTTTCTGTCTCGTTCCTGAGAGTTGTACCACAGACCCACATGTCTTTGCGAGGATTAAAGATTTAATAAAAATATATAACAAAAATTTAGATGACCCCCGTCTCGAAAAGCTTCACAGTACAATAAATCATGATTTATTGCACTGTGAACCATTTCGAGTCGGGAGTCATCTCAAAATCTCAAAGACACGAAACATCAGCTAATGATATGCTGTATTTGATATGTAATTCTGAACCAAGTACGAAAATCTACTGTACAGTTATATATATGAACAGTAGACGGACAGGAAGGAACACAACTAATATTTCGAAAGCTTACATCGAGAGGCTCTTGTACCAGGGGACCGTTCCGAAGAGCAATCTTTGCGCTATGAAGATCGTAAATCATCGGATTTACGGTCGTTCTTGGCGCTTAATCCCGTTGTGGATCAGGTGCCAGGGTTATAACTGACCCCGTAAGAACAAGGAACAATAGATGTCTCGCCTCAAAATAACACAACAAATGGTATATTGTTTATTGAGACGGTCCCTTGTTAGGTCAATTGACTTCTTATAGGAAATCAGCTTATGGAATAACTGTCATGCATTAACCTGTATGGTTCTGTAAGAAGCTTAATTTGTCCTTCTGTCCGCTATTGGGAAACGCAGGAGAAATAGTGTTGGTCTCTCAGAATCTGTGTTGCTTTGCCTGTTGACAAAGATGCCCTCGCCGCGAGCACCTGCTGGTAAAATGTAGGTATTTCTATGATTGTTTAT